GTACATTAATTTATATTCATTTGTTCCATTTCTCCATCACAAAGTACCAACTTTCCTTATTTTAACAGATAATGTTTCAAAAAAAAATAAAAAAATTTCGGGTACAGCGCCCCTTCAACTCCAGGACCTCCCTAGTTTAAAGGGCTGGCTCCGCCCCTGTATGTATGGGATTATATGATGGCACATTTGATAAAGAGAATTGGATAGCACCAAATAATAGGGGGGAAAAGTTAGAATCTTTCTCATTATATTGTACCGTCTTTTCTATTGCTGCAAAATTAAGGCATAAATCTCACTTACGGATTTGGGATGGTCTCCTTTTTGACATTTCAATATAGAACCTCAAATCTTAACATTATATCAGATACCATAATGTTCAGACGAGCCATTCGATCCATCTAAACATTCAAATGAGCTATCAGATTCCAAAACTAATATTCTCAAATGATTCACCATCTTGTGAGAACCCCGAGTCTTGATAGCATACCAGGCATGCATAGATTCGCTGTGTGTTGCTTTTCTACCATATGGACTCCAGGCTCCAGCTAAGTTTTACGGTAACATTCCTCTAATGAGGAACGCCAGTATAGATTATTGAATCATGCTTAGTCATAGGCATTTCTACATTCTCTACTAATTTTGATTAATTCATCAATTTCCTGCTTAATTACTCAATAATTTTGATCAGAAAAACATAATCAACTGACCTGAATCACTGGAAGAGAAGGCAAATTCAGAGCAGCACGCACATTATGAATAAGTGTTTCCATATTCTCCTTATAACTGTCGGCATCATGCTGGGTTAATGCATCACTCTCCCCCTGATACCACAACATTGCCTTAATTTCACCGGAACCGCCCTGCACGGCGGCTGCAGCCCTCTTCACCATGTTCTCATACAGTGGGGTTCCCCGCGCCCACTCCTTGATCGCGGTCCCACCTACAGCACACGGAACCAGGCCGATGATTCCCAGGCGCTCCTTCACCGCGTTTGCGAACGACATCCCCGGCCCCACTCCGCACGTTTTCTTGT